ATTATGCTATTATCTGAAACTCCTGGATTACCATATTCTAAAATGACATGTCCCCATTTATCCATCCATTCATCATTCCCAAAGGCTCTATCAATCCTGCTTGAGACTCTGGCATTACCAATCTGCTTATTATTCCAAGTATAGTAACTACCTTTCCACTGTAATTCATGAATGCCCATATCGTTGACACAGTCTGCAAAATCCTTTATTTCATTCACATTAATAGGAGCTCCAGCTAGTCTATCCTTGGGGGACAAAATAGCATTAAAATCTCCAATTATGAGCCATGGATACATAACATTTTGGCCCATCATGTTCATATCAGTCCATAAACTCTTCCTCTGCTATATAGTATTATAACCATATATAACTGAGAGATTAAACTGGTACCCTTTGCTTCTTTCCTTTACATGACAATGTATCATCTGAGTTGTACTAGTTATTAGCTTAACATCATACTAACTATCATCCCATATAATCCAAATTCTCCCATTTGCAGCATCTTTGTAATTGTTCAGCCTATTCCATCCTGGAGCAATACCCTTCATTGTTGTATTATCATTAACCTCTTTCACTCTAGTTTCAATTAATTCTGCTAGAGACACTTTATTAAGCTGTAAAAACAACTTTATTTCTTTTTGTTTATACCTCTTATTCATACCCCTCACATTTCAACAGCTCCACATCATTAACAGGATTTAGAAGTTCCACCTCTATCCACAGGCAGTGAAACCAGCTTGCTATTCATGAGGATCTCAAATCCATTTCTCATAGCTATAGCTGATAAAATTGGAAAATTAGACATACTAAACTTTAGCTGCTTGCTTTCATTATAAGGCCTTAAACTAGTTTCTGGTGTTTGCTTGATTTCCTGTTCTCTTCTTTGCTCAATCCCTTGTTTCTCCTTCTGCTCATGAGAAGCTTCATCTTCTTTAGACTCTAGCAGCTTTCTTTGTTCCACTACCTTCTCCTGTTGTTGAATAGGTCCTTTGTATTGCCATATCTGTGTAACTTTTTTCCATGGCCTTCTCTTTTTTGGCTTCTCCTCCTTAGTTGATGTTTGACATTGATGACCAATCTTCTGACATTTATAACAATATAAAGGCTTCCACTCCATCACAACATCTTGCATAAATGTTCTACCATTAGGATCCATTACTGTTATCTTCTGAGGGATAGGCTTAGTAACATTTACTTCAATGAGCATTCTAGCATAAGATATCCTTGTCTGTTTAGTATTTCACTCATCAGCAAATAGTGGAACTCCTATAGCACTAGCAATTTGACTTAGTGATCCAGCTCCCCAACAATTTAGAGGCAACTTTGGAAAGTTAATCCATAGAGGAATTTCAGTTAAGAACTCATTCCCAAAATCAAATTCTGGACTCCATTGCTTCAATATGATAGGCCTAGTACTTATTGTATAAGGCCCTGAGTATAGAACTTCATTCATGTCATTCAAACTCCTAAACTTGATTATGTAGTATCCTTCCTCATGAAGGAATACCTCAGGTTTATCAACTTTCGACCAATTCATTAGTATATACCTATTCATAATGTTGTATCCAGGACATTCACCAATTACATAGGCTATAAGAGCTCATTTCCACTTTTCCTCTTCAATCTGTTCTTCTTTCCCTTCCAGCTGCACCATAGTTTGCCCATTAAGTATTTGAGGAGGGAAATAAGTCAAGTTCATTCCATTGATAGCTGCACGATTATTTTTAAACATATTAATCCAATGTTCTTTATACTCCTTACTCTTCACCCCTTCTAAACCTCCTTTACTGGTATTATTTTCAGTTACTGTTCCATTGTCGTCCACCATATTCTCAATCTCATTATGTTCTAGATCTGAGTTTTCATGTTCTTCTTCCTTCTCCAGCGAGTATTATTATTATTATTATTATTATTATTATTATTATTGTTATTGTTAATGTTATTATTGTTATTATTGTTATTATTATTGTTATTATTGTTATTGTTATTATTGTTATTATTGTTATTATGGTTATTATTATGGTTATTATTATTGTTATTATTATTATTCTTATTATTATTCTTATTATCATTATTATTATCATTATTATTATTATTATAATTATTATTATTATTATTATTATTGTTATTATTATTATTATTGTTATTATTGTTATTATTGTTATTATTATTATCATTATTATCAATATTATTATTATCATTATTATTATTATTATTATTATTATTGTTATTATTTTTATTATTATTATTATTGTTATTATTGTAATTATTATTATTATTGTTGTTGTTGTTATTATTATTATTATTATTATTATTACAATTATTATTGTTATTATTATTATTACTATTATTATTGTTATTATTGTTATTATTATTATTATTATTATTATTACTATTATTATTATTATTGTTGTTGTTGTTGTTGTTATTATTATTAATATTGTTATTATTGTTATTATTATTATGGTTATTATTATTATTCTTATTATTGTTATTATTA